GCTCCTAAAGGAGGAGGTGAAGAGAATGGAGCAGTTTAGAGAGCGACAGAAAGAACAGCGGAAAAAGGTGCCCATTTGAATGCTCATCTTGTTTGCATAAACAGGATATTTTTATTTATTTATTTTTTTGGGTTGCTTCTCTGTGTGATTTCCTGGTAACAGCAATGACTTTTGTTCTCAATTCTTAGTACGAAGTCATCATGGAGAAGGTCCAGAAGACAAAAGTCTCCCTCTACAAGAAAACATTAGAGGTGAGCTCAGCTCTTGCTATCATGATGACAGACCACAGGTTTGTGGTAGTTATTGTTTTTACTTTCACAGACACATAATGGTTTGAGCTTGAGTGAGGACATTTATTATTCATTACATAAAAGGCTTTAAATAGAATGAACAATGTCATTGACGTTTCTCTGTAAGGCCTGTTGGGCCTTGGGCCTCACTGTAACCCTAAAGCATTGTTGTGCATGTTTTAAAAGGCAAATTGTTTAAAAAGTCAATACAGCGTATAAAAAAGGGGGCAGATTTTGCACACTGGTGTTACCACTGTAGATAAACAAAGATGCCTGTTCTCTGCTGAGAGGAAGGAAGTGAGTGAACTATTTTGTTTCTCCGGGTGCACATGCTTGACATCTCTTTTTTTTTTCTTTCTTTTTTTTTGACTAAACCCCCCTCCAACTGTCTCTTCCCTCCACCTCCCACTCCCTTTCCTGTCAAGGCCTCATAAAACAAGGTTTTGATGAGCAGTGCATGGGTTTTGTAGTTTCACATGGTTTCGGTTTGATTTCTCTTCCAGTCCAAAAGATCCTATGAGCAGCGCTGCAAAGAGGCAGATGAGGCAGAGCTAACGGCTGAGAAGCTGGGCACCGCCCCCACAGCCACTCCCAAACAGATTGAAAAGGTAGGTTTGCTCTACTGTGTGATTATTTGACCAAACTGTTGTTTTTGTTCCAGTTCACCCGTTTCAGTCTGAGCAAAGTCATTTCCCCATCAGTAAATATGATTTTTACATTGCTAAATAAGCTTGAGTTGACTCTGTTTATAACTTTTTAATGAATAATCATTTCAACGGTAGAACTGCAGGAAACATTTTTTTCAGACTCACTGGTGCATGTGGGTTAATAGTTTCAAGTTTTATTCTTGTCAGAGTTGTCAATGATTCCAAGCATTAGTATTGGCATCAAGCATCAAGCCAAGCTTGCATGTACACGTTTTTAAATTTAGGGCGAGCTTAGAAAAACTTCAGCAGAGGAACATAAAAGAAAAGAAAAAGCTTTCTAGTGTTAAACTCTGAATCTACATCATTCTGAGCAAAGTAGTTTAAATATCTGACTGACTAACAATAAGAGTGTCTTACGCACTGGCATTTAGTCACTAACACTAGCTATGATATTCCACTTGAAAGCATGAAAAAACTTTACACAGAGAAATACAAAAAACGGTGAAGATTTACTAAGAAATCAGTAACTGGGTACTTTTTGTAAAACTTGGGATCATTGAGTGTTAATGAGTTATTAGAGAACATATAATTTATTAACTGAGGATTAGCTGATTATGTCAAGTGTCAGAATGACTTCCTGAACAATTTATTGTTGCTTAAGTCCAAACTGGCTGCCTATTTGTCTAAAACTTGACACATTAGTTCCTCTTTCTGTGAAAAAAAAAGAACAGAAATAGACATTTTTAAGTTGTATTTTAAGTAAACTGATACATCTCACTAACAAGTTACTGTTATATCTATTACTATGTTAATACTGTTCCCCTATTGCTTCACGATTATTGCTTCACATAAAACCTAATTGGTTTTATGTTAAAACCTAATTGGTTTTATGTTGATATCCATCCATCCATCCCATTCCATTTTTCCATTTTATTAAAACTGAATCCTCTTGTTTGATTTTATTGCTGTGGGTTTATATGTGGGTTTATATTAATTGTGGTATTATCATTATTATAATTTTTTGTGTCTCATATTTTTGTTCTTTTTTATTTATCAGATGAACAACAAATCCAAACAGTGCAGAGAGGCTGCAGAAGAGGCTGGTAAGGACAACTAATAAGCAAAATTAAGTAGGATGTTTGAAATGCATGTAGGAAAGTGATTCACAAGACATGATTTTTCTTTTTAGGTTGGTGCTCATATGAACTTCTCTTTTACTTGAAGACACGATAAATAGCTCAAAGTGCAGCTATTTATTTTATCTTCAGGATAAACTGAACATTAAAACTCAAAATGTTTAGTTTGGTTTTTGCAATTTGCTCATTTTTCCTTTAGAGAAACAGTACACGACAAACATTGAACAGCTTGACAAGATCCGTCAAGAGTGGGAATCGACTCACACTGACACATGCGAGGTATGCTTTTAAAATGTGCATTTTCTCTCTCAAATTGAAACGGCGCGCTATGGCTTAATATTTTTCTAGAATATACAGCGTCAGTATTTGAGGCCTGCTATGCCTTTGAGCGAGTGTAATACTATAGTGACACATAGTGAGTCACTAGTGTGCCCAGAACATTTCCGGGCAATAAGACCTCTCTTTATGTGATAAGATCAACAAAGCTGAACTAACCATTCAACAACTTCACACAACCCTATAAGAACACTTGCAGATGTCAACTCATAACACATTTACATACAAATGAAAACCCATGCTCAAATATATCTAAAAAAAATGTTTGTTTGTTTGTTTTTGGGGTGGCAGGGGCAAGGTACTAAAACCTGTACTTTGAGCTCACCGAAGGCTTAAGCTTCCACTTGTGCAGGAAGCTGCTAGTTGCAACACTTTATTTTTAAGACTATATAAATACAGTTTCTAGCCTCAACATAAGTGTCCACTCAAACTGCTCTTTTGTAGATATTTCAGCAGCAAGAAGAAGACCGCATCAGTGTCGTTAGAAATGCCTTGTGGGTGCATTGTAACCACTTATCAATGCAATGTGTGAAAGAAGATGAGGTGAGTGCAGCTGCTTTTCATGCACCTGAATTGGACAGAGAGGTAGCATGCTTACAATGTTTTCTGGACAAACTGTTCTTTCAGTGCTATGAAAATGTGAGGAAGTCGCTGGAAATGTGTGACATCGTCACAGACAACAACGGCTTTGTTGAGATGAAAAGCACTGGCTCAACCCCCCCAGGTAGGTATTCAACCTGCTGCCTTCCTGATTTGGATTTGAATATGTTCTAAGGTGAACATTTTAATATTATCTTTCAACTCTAAAGCATGCGACGAAATGCTTAGCAGCAGAAACAGGAAAGATGAATGATGTACCAGGCTACTGGAGCTGTAAAAACAGATTTTTCTTTCTTTCCACAGCTCCAGTTGAATATCAAAATTACTACGATAAGAATCCTACAGCTGAGAGAAACGGCGGTGTTGGATTTGTTGGAGTCATGAAGAGGTCCGATTGTCACCACATCAAGAGAATAATAAACATAGCTTGTACTTCTTGCGCAATGTCTTTTGTGTATCCCTTACTGAATACTTTCCTCAATTTCTAGGTTTTCAAATCTTCTGCAGGGGAACTGTTCCAGTGGCTCGAAAGTAAACATCAACGAAGGAGTTCCCCAATCTGCAGGTAAAGTACCATCGTGTTGGGATGACACTGCAATTTCTTACTGGAAGTAAACAAATGTGCAAGTCTTTTAATCTTGGTAACAAACGGTGTAGAACAGCTCTAAGTTCTTCTTTATACAAATGATTTCCAAGCTCGGGAATGAACGCAAGGTTGTTCTTATGATGTTATAGTGGGAAATGTGGAAGCAGAGCAGCGAATCTGACACAGTACAAGTTTTGATTCTGAATTTTAAAAAAAGTCCATAATTAGAGCCTAACTGGTTCAGTTGGTGAAAGAGTACTTCAGCTGACGTTATCTGGCTGTGGGGTCAGACCAAGGGAATGGTAATACTGCTGCACACCGCACCAAAAAACTAAATGACCTGATCAGATGTGTACTTTGAGCTGAATATTGTGAGTGTGTGTGCTATACACAGTAACGGGGTGGCTCAGGTGGTAGAGCAGATCAGCTACTGATCGGAAGGTTGGTGGTTCAATCCTTGGCTTCCCCAGTCTGCATGCCAAATATCCAAGTTGCCCTCCGATGCGTTCATCGAAGTATGAATGTGTGTGAATGTAGTTTAGTTTGCACTTGAGTTTAGAAGTGCTTGTATGAATGGGTGAATGAGGCATGTTGTATAGAGCGCTTTGAGTACTCTGGGGGAGTAGAAAAGCGCTATATAAGAATAAGTCCATTTACCATTTAACATGTGATGTGTCTTCAGGAGAAACATCAGATGGAGTATATGCGTCCATTCCTGGATTCCAGGCGTCCCAAATGGGAAGTGATGAATACAAGGCGATATACGACTATGTGGCACAGGTCAGGTTCTGGGCACAGATTTTTAACTTCTACATAAGACACTTTCATGGCTCTAACATAGTAAAATAGGTTTTAGAGTAACATTATTTGCAAATCCTTGCATTCTAATTTTAAGCCTTTTGACTGATTTGAAAGATCACCCTTTGATTGTTTCTGTACCTGTTTAGGGAGAGGATGAACTCCCTCTATCTGTTGGAGATATTGTGATTGTCTTGGAACAAGGTGAAGATGGCTGGTGGACAGTGAAAAGAAATGGTATTTCTGGACTGGTTCCAGGCTCGTATCTTGCTAAAGAATGAGTCTAACAGCCGTATGTAGGACTGCGTAACTGCTACATTTCTGTGTACATGTTGTAAAGACTATGGAATAGAATAACCCCAGAGCTTCATCTTATCTGCCATTACCTTTCTGTTGTAAGTATCACTGAAGCACTTGTAGGGTTTAGAATTTTGATACCCTGTTATGGAGAGAAATCAGTCTCAAAGGTGTCACAGATGTGCATGATTACAATCTACAAGCACAAACTAGGATGTATAAATGTGTGCTACAGCTGGTGGAAAATTTTAAGAATGCACAAATGTGTGCTCTACACCCAAATACAAAGCCATTTGAACACATTTAAAAATATTTTATATTAGTTTATTATTCTTGAATAAATGGTGATCATGCATGCACAAATTTTAAAGCTTGACTTTACAGATCTGATCATTTACACTTTCAAAAAGCTTCCTCTGCTTACAGGTGTCAATTAAATGACCGTAATCTGATAAGGACGGATCATGTCAGGTGTGTAATTGGGGTATGAGATACTTCTCGCTTCTTTCAGCAGTGCACAGATCCATAAATGCATGTTGTTTTTAAATGCTAGAAAAAAACTGGGACATCTCTTTTCTGCTTATTCCTATCCTAATTCAAATAAATCACGTGTATTTTCTAAATGAACAGAATAGCTTGTTAGCCCTCGACTAGAACACAAACCAATTACAGATGCTATACAGACTGATGCATAGTATATGCTAAAGTAGTAAAACCTATAAGCTAATATAGGCTAATAGTTAAACCTATAAAGTAGTTCACAAGTGAAGCAAAATAAAACAGACAAGTCACAAAGACATCTGCTTTAAAAGCAAAAAAGGGGGGATATAGAAGTAAAAAATTATTGTATTTCTTTGTGCAAATATCCTTTGTGCAGAGTCCCTGACCCAATATCTGCTACTGGTACTAAGAGTTCAAAGTTATAGCTGGAAGAAATGTTTGCAAAACGTGCAGGAAGCCAGCACACTGCGACATTTTAACACGCATAATTTAGAGGGTTGCTGTTAAGGGCCCAGTGTGAACAATTTCAACAGCACCGCTTTCAACATCCTGTGAAAGCTGAAGATGCTGTGACAGAGCCTCAGCTAAAGCTATTCTTGACCACATACAAAATCAAGATAGCAAATATCCAGTGGTGTGTATTGCAGTCTCACCCCAGTGTACTTCAGTGGAACCTGTGAAGGGAGAAGTGACGTCCCCCTATATTTTAAGTAAACACAAACAAAGAGTACAGTGTTTTTTTTTACCTGCAGATTTTAAAAAATCCTTTCTAGGACAGTTTGTGTATGTTTTTAACAGACTTGAGGAATCAGAACCATGAAAGGGAAACTAACTGGGAAGACAGTTAGTAGTTGACAGTGGTACAACGCATCAAGCCTCCACAAAACATTATTCCCCAGTGTTCGGCATAAGCCACAGTGAAATCAAACTTTTTAATTAATCTTAGACTCATGCATGACTGTTAATGAACTATTTTAAACCACCTTGCACATGGGGTCAACAATGATAGTCATATTTTACTCAGCTTAGCCAAATACCCACACATCTTGCTGATTTCTCTCCATTTTAAAACGGGAGTGTACCGGTTAGTTAAGAGCCTCAAAAGTAAAGCGAAAGACACTAAAGATGAAAGATTTTAGGACTAATAAACTAAACACATAATCCTAAAATTGATTGAATGTGAGCAATAGTGCAATTTATTTTCAACAAATTCAGCTGTTCAGGAATAACAGTCTATTCTTGACTGCTTATTTTTTAATTACACTTATAGATATGTCTTATTAGTGTCTTATTTAAAGTTCATGTGTTTTTGTAAGTTTATTATGAATAGTTTATTCATAATAAACTATGACATACTATTATTAAAGTTCTCACTTCAAATACTTATGACTAATGAAAACATAAAATCAAAATGGCTTGTGAATAAAAAAATTAATGCTAGGAGCTAATTGACATCTGCAGATGTCAAAATGCTGACAGTTCAGGATCACTCATTAGGCTTACATTAATCTTAGTTTAGACGAATAACCGTGACCATTTATTAATCTTCATAGGCTGCTGAGTAGTATCTGTAATAGATAATCGTATGTGTTCTAGTCGAGAGGTGATGATTGTATTTTGTTTATTTAGAAAAAAAAAGGTTATTTGAAGTCATGTAGGAAGCCCAGATGTCCCACTCGCACTCGAATGCAGCATGTGTTTGGGGCTGAAAGAGTGAAGTGCAAACATTATCAGATTTGTGATTTGTGGGTAAAGTGTTGTCTGTTTGTGTGTGCGTTGGAGAACGAATTTGGACATTTCTAAATTGCACACAAATCATTGTACATTGTATTTAAACTTTTAATTTATGCTTTTGAGGTCAAAAAGGGAAAGATTAAAAATGAGACCATCAGTAGGACAGTTCAGAGCAGTTTAGAGACAAACTTAGGAGAAGATGTAATGGATGTAGTGAAGGAGGAGACGCAGAGGGTGGTCACATCATACACATTTGTGAAACTTGTAAAACTCATTTCTCTTTACAGCCCCTAGTGGCAGCAATATAAAAGCCTGTGGAAGTAATGCATACTATACAAAATGTAAAAAAAAAGGCCTTTGTATATTTTCAATGTGCAGATAATTGTAGTCTGAACACAACAAATGCATGTAACGTGTTTATTTATATTTATTAAATTGAACTGAAAAGACAAGCCTTCTATTGTTTTGTTTTTTTGTTTTTTTTAAAATACCGTTAGCTTTTGCATTGCAGTAAATACTATTTCTTTGTTTTATTAGAACAGTCTATTCTTAGGTTATGTAGCTAACAACTCTTTGCTCTCTGGTTTTTGATTACGCAGGAGTGGGCGTTGCTGCCAAGTTTTTCTCAGGTAAATAAAGCAGAGATATTTACCAGAAATCATATGAGTCTAAAATCGTAATTTCTTTTGACACCAGTGTCTTCTGACCTTTGACTCTTTGATAGCAACAAGAACAAACAGAAACCGGAAAACATTCGATTTAATTTTAAATATGCTGCAATTACATTCTGGAGTCTTGCCGCTGCTACATTTTAGCAAGTCATGTTCTAAAACTACCATTGGTAGACTGCAAACAGAAAGGGACAAAGTCAATGCATTACACTCCAAATACCCCGAATACTAAAAGGACTGATTCAAAAGATAAAGCTCAAATAAGTAAAAGCCAGTGAAGTTACACAGTTTACACACAAAAACATGCAGTGGCCTTTACTTCTACTGCAGTTTAAGTATTTCTTGACAGAATACTGCTGATGAAAAATAAAGTTTAAAACGTATGTGAGCTGCAGGAGTAGTTCTCATAGTACAATAGTAGTAGCAGTAGTAATAGCAGTTGAAGTACAAGGTAAATTATATTCTTTCTTTCAAGTACATGACAGATTAAAAAAAAAAAAATACAATGTGTTAGCCGTACATATAGTGCAAAAAATAAGAGGGAACTGCACTACCCACATAAAAACTCTGAACATAACCAAACCGGGTTTCAGTTGGTATAAGCGGGGCTTTCCCACCACAATGCCTTCCACAGAGCAAATAATGCCAACGTTTCAATCTCAAGGACCTTTATAAAAAATTTGGACAACAGCTTTTTGGAAAAAAAAACAAAAAAAACAGGTAAAACACACAAGTTAACTTGGTTAGTGCGTTAAGGTTAGTGTGGTAATAGATTATTTCATGCTCTCACCTATAAATCCTTAATTAATATTATGGTGAGAAATGCTTTCTCTTTATGCATAGGTGCCCCCTGTAACTAGCAGCTCGTAGGCAGGATCCCGGCTTCTCCGGCACAGCACGACACATGCACACAGCATCCCCAGCATCTAAAGGAAATGCAACACTCAGTTAAAAGTACTCACACATTATAAGGTGGGAAGTCCTGCAACGTATAGCAGCACGTATTATACCAGACTTTAAAATATGTGTTGCTTTCATCATGGAACACTGGCTTGCACTGTGGTCGTTGCCTTTGAATAGCTTGACACTTCTGCTTCTAACGCTTAGAAAAGGTATGCCAAAATCATTTGACATCATAGGCCACATGCAGCCCACATTACAGAAAATATATTAATTAAAAATTAGGGGCCGGATTTGACCTGGGCCTTATAATTGACACCTTTAACTTACAGCATGATAAGTGCAAATAAGTTTTTACCAGTGAGGAACTGGTTTCTTGGGAGTAGGTGGTGTGAAGCTGAAGCCTGTCACCTGCTACTCCATACTAAAAGTAATTTGAAATATAGCTACCCAGTTCTGAGTAACCAGCTGTAATATTCAAAACTACTGATGGCATACCTAAGAAGCCATCTTCTTCCTGAGTTAAATACCTGCATGGCAGCAAATGTCAGCGCAGTCCAGATGACATACATCATGATCTCCTGTAGTTTCTTCACAACAAGTGCTTCACAACCCTATAGAAGCATATAATATACATATTTAGATGAATATACAAGAAGAAGCTGTCACGTTAAAAATAAATAAATAAATAAATGTGTATCCAGCATGACAACTTGCAAGGAGATAAGAGTTTGTTTACTTCTTGGTAGAGAGCTTCAGGATGAGTAAGAGACCCCGTACAGGTTCCAATGTTAGATTTGCAGCAGCTGATGGGTACGCTGTTGTTTTTTGATTTTTCATACCAGCGTGTGTGCTGCCAGTCTGAGTAATTGTGAATCCCACAACACTGAAGCTAAAGATAAAGAATCAAAAGTAATGTCAATTTCTTGCAAATACACATAAAAAACTAAACAAAACACACCACACACAAAAGAGACAGACAGCTGATAAAGAGAATGTGATTTTTATCCTCACCTGTCTCTGAACATAGTCAATGGCACGGCTCTGGGCGTTGCTATTTGTGCCGTTGTACTCATCATAAACTTTCATAATAGAACTATTAACTTCATTTTCAACCTGGGAAGAGTTTAAAAAAAAAAAAAAAGGTGAGGGCTAAGCGTTTGTTGACACATCTTCTTGAACAAATCAACTTTACACCAGAGTCACTTAATAGAATTTTCAGCGGTTGACTGTCTGGGTGTTATCAGAGAGATCTACTGTGCTAAAGGCTCAGAAAAAAACCCAAACATGTAGCAAGCTGTATTTGACTTCCTCACCTTTGCTCTGTAAATGTATCCGAGAACCACCACTGCCACTTCTGTCATGAAAACCAACAGGAGAATGACGACAAACTGTGGATTGAATTTCAATATTAAAGACAAAGGGACAGTTGTCAAAAGGTTATCTTTGGTCTGGTTTAAGTTACGCTCACCCTACCTGTTAATTCATGCTTGGTGTTTTGCATTCAGGGTGCAATATAATGCATCATAAACTACACCTTTAATATTTAGCACACTCTTTAAACTGGTTTACTGACCGATGTAAGTCCACAGTAGCTCTCCCTCACTGTAGCGCAGCATCCAATTAGCCCAATGATGAATAGAAGGGCTCCAACTGCAATGATGATCACCGCTGGGATAAGAGTGTACACATCTTCAAAGAAGTGATCATAATCATCATATGTAATGAAGACATAGGCTCCAACATAGCAAAGGATGCCAGCAGCGGCCTGTGGGTGACAAGAAAAACAAAAAACATTACAATAAATAGTATCCATCCATCCAGGTATTATGTTTCAATTTACCCAATTCAGAGTCAAGGGGCTATCTCAGCAGTCACTGGGCAAAAAGCTAACACAGAGAGACAAACAACCATTCAGACTTAACCTAACCCCTTTAGACTGTATGAGAAAGAGACAGGCGAGAACATGCTAATTCTGCATATAAAGGCCCCAGCCTGGATTTGAACCTAACAACTTCTCGCTGTGAAGCAACCGTGCTGCAGCGATTAGCACAATAAGTGTATTGCCACCGTGGCAACAGACCTTTGCCATAGAGCCGTTTCACATGTGTCTTAGTACACTAGGCATGAACTCTAATTCTTAAAAACAACATGCTGGGATCGGTTTTACATAACTACTGTACAGTTAATCAACACTAACTGTCCTCATCCCCAGAGACTATCATGTACAATAAAGTGGACCTTAATATTATACTCCAGTACATTTCAAAGAAACATGCTGAGAGTTAGATTTACTTTGTAGCCATGTCCAATAAATAAAATAAAAAGAAATAATGCATCTGCTTAAACTTCTGTTAAAGTTCTTAAGTTATGATAACACAGCAAATCTATGTCACACAAATACACAAAAAGGTAGCTTCACTTCAGGAAGCAACATAGCAAACAGTTCTTTTAATATAAAACGTAATGACACATGGTTCATTTAATATAAGCTCATAGCGGAAACCTAAATATTTCATCAGTAATAGTCACGTTTTTGAGCTGCCTCCTGAAGCTAGCCCCTCACTAGTGAGACAAAGGTCGCAGCAAGCTAAGCAGCTGACGGCACACAAACACACAGCTAGCTACAGCCGGTTAAATGTGACGCACGTTTAAAACCGACATAAACCTCCAAACTTACCCAAAAAATCAGGTTTAGAAAGACCAACACCGTCTTCGACGATGTGATGCCACACTGCCCCATCGTCAACACGGGTTTTTAAAGCTGTTCGTTTCGGGAAAATAATGCAGGTTTCTAGTCAGACATCTCCCAGCTGGCCCCACCATTCGCTCTCCATAACCTTAACAACACACCGTTGGACAGCTGCCTGCGACACAGCGCCCCCAACAGCAGAACTGCGACAACACACCCTGCACAAACACACAAGTTAACCACGCCCCCAAAATGGTGACTGGTGCCTTAAAGCTTACAGTCCACTGACCAGCCTGCAAGCAATACTTTTTTTTCAGGCCAACAAGCTATTATTGTGTTACAAATGATAAAAATGTAGCAAATGTAGCAAATGTTAAAAACCCGAGATATCAATTTTATTTATATATAAAGCTGCTAGTTGCCATCTAGTGGTATGATATAAACTCACCGCCACTTTGTTAGGTACACTTCTACACCTGCTCGTTAATGCAAATATGAAATCAGCCTCTATTACATGATAGAGTAACTCTGAACGTGGCATGGTTGTGTACAGGTGGATCTATACTGTTTTATCTGCCCTTTAAACTGAGTCAGTAATCAGATAGGCAGTCTTTTTTTTTTTTAACTTGCTGTGCCGACATAATTGTTTGAATCAACATGGATCAGATTTTTCTATCTCCATGTTTCCACAGGACAATGTGCATCCCAAAATGCATGCCCCTGTACCGCCTTTGCGGACACCTCATGGAGAATACGCACACTGGCCAATTCATTAGGTACACCTGTTCAACAACTTATTCACGCAAATACTTAATCAACCAATCGCATGGCAGCAACTCACACACCACCTGCTGAAGTTCAAACTGAGCATCAGGTGATTAAAGTGACAGGCTGCATGCTCCAGCTGCCTGTCACCTTGCTGCTAGAAAACCTGCATTTTGCCAATGAGGGACAGTACAGGATATTTGTATTTTATTCTGTTCAATTTTATGTTTGTTGTTTTGGATTAGTCTGAGTATTTCTGTTAGTCTGATCTACTGGGATTTTCACACACAAACCTTTCTTGGGTTAATAGAAAACAACCAGAAAAAGAGAAAATATGCAGTGATTGAATGAGCTGACAGGGATGCACCAGTAACTTAAACAACCGCTTGTTACAACCAAAGCATGTAGAACAGGACCTGAATATGCCATACATCAGTGACAGAAGACCGCATAAGTGCCACCTTTGTCAGCTGACAAATCTGCAACAACAGTGTGATGCTATCAAGTAAACACGAGCCAAACTCTTTGAAGAGTGTTTGCAGTATCTTGTTAGATCTAGGCCACAAAGAATTACAAGTCTTGCCACAAAAGGTGCTAAACACAGTACTAGTAAGGTGCATCTAATACAGTGACTGTTTAATTAAGGGTTGTCAAACTCATTTTAGTTCACAGGCCACAAACTACACATTGTAGTACAACTATTGCATAATAACATATAATCCTCTAAAAGTCTTCTTTATTAATGAGTAAAGAAGTGCAAATACATAAGTAGCATCTAATAAGCTAACCATTTCTGAAACAGTTAACATGTGAAAGTTTTGTACCTTTATAGATCCACTGTCGAGTGTTTTATCTTTATGATTCCTATCATTTGTCTACATTTAAAATACTTTTATGTTCCCCATTCAATTTTGCTCGTTTCTTCTTTTTTTGGCTGGTCGCCTTAGGGGTTGCCACAGCAGATTATCTGTCTTCATCTCACCTTATCAATCATTAAATCCATTCATTTTATCTCTGGTCTTCCTCTCTCCTCCACTATCCCTCCTCTGCATATGTCCAAACCATCTCAGCCTTGCCTCTCTGAATTTGTCTCCACACTGCTCAACCTAAGCTGCCATCTTGGCTTCTTGTCTTTTTTGTCAACGCCACCATCTCCAAACCATACATCATAGCAGATTTTACTACCTTCACTGCTCTAATAAGCAGTTTTTCCACTTTAACAAAACCATCCAATGGGCCAAAATGGACCAGGCTGGCTGTTTCCCGAGGGCTCCATGCTTGACACTCCTGGTTTAATTCTCATCCTTGACTCTCATACTTAAAAAAATTCAAGTGTGGAATTACTAGTCAGGTTATGTGATCTCAAAAACAGAGGAGGAGCAATGTTTAAAATTTAAAAAGATAATTTCTTTCTAAAACAAATAAATAAAAATAGAAGTATCTCTAATCAGGTCATTAAAAATATCATGTACCTTTTGTTGTGGCTTTTACACAGAAATTTATTAAATTACAACCATTAGGAATACAGTATATTAGCAGAACACTGTTGTGAGCAAATACTGCAGTAGCTGATGTTTATCTGTTGTCACATCAATTTTTTTGCTTGCATGAAAGTTTAAAGATAAATAAAGATAAGTAAAGTTAAAAAATAATGAAAACTTCTTTGTTTCCCTGGGAATAAAGTCAGAATAAATAACCACAAAAAGAACCAACTAAACACAGAGTAATAGAATGTCACTGGTCACATTACTTGACTCGGGATTACACAATTGCATTGCTAGATACATTCTTGTTGTAGTTTCAAACTAAGAGGAAATAAACATGCACTGAAAACACAAGGTTTCATATAAGGGAGAAACTGATAAGCCATGCCCAAAACTCAAGATCACTTTCAAAGTTTAGAAACCACACATTTAGATTATGCACATAGTTCAAATGTTAACATTTTCATTGAATTGGCAACTGTCACTAAAGACACAGAAAACTATCAACACAGTACTGACAGTAATTTTGCTCTATTTGTGTGCAAATATGTTTTACAGGCACATGATTTGAAAAAGAATCACAAAAACACATGTCTCACTGCTTGCAATAGTTTACTTCGTAGCTGAGGAGAAGCTAAAATCAGCATGTGTGCCAAATATTTTGTCCCAGTGACTGAAGTGCGGTGCAAAGTTTGTATTGGGTTTCTGATGGTGCACGTCATGTTTGCTGGGCCCTCCGTAGATGCCAAATGGTATCAGACGAGATGTGGACCAGGGGAAATCATAGCCGCAGTGATCTTCTATAGAAACATACACATGCAACACCATGAAGGCCCATGTAGTGAACAGGTGACATCTCAGGATCACAGGATTCAGGGTGGTCCAGAAGCCCACTGTAACCAGCTCCCAGCCACCAAGACACTGAGTTGCAAGAGCAAAGGGAGACGAGTAATTGTGATGGATGGCGTGGAAGGTGACATACAGCCAGCGGATCCTGTGATGGAGCAGGTGCCAAATGAAGTACTGCAAGTCAAAAAGCAGGAGGTTGCCTATCGCCCCGGCGATCAGCTCCAGTAGGAACGGAGCCTGGTCTGGCAGATCGGCAGGTGGCCTCCACGCCCACTGGGCCACAGATGCTGGAAGCACAAGAAACACATGGTTGTACAAGGTGACACCTGCACAGTGCAGCAATGCAGAGGCCGTTGGTCGACGGCTTGGCTGTATCTTGAATTGCTGAACCCACGGCCATTTATCCCCCATTATGTCACAAAGAAGGAAAGGGATGCAGAAGACAAAGTATGAAGAGACAGTCAGCACAATGGGGAAGAGCGGAGATCGCAAATAGTCTGTGTAGTTGAGCCTCAGGCTGTCCCACAGAGGCTGCAGCAAAGACTTTTCTCTTGACCAACTCATCCAAATATCTACACTGGTTTCTACAAGATCCATGATGAATTAAAAAAGGAAAAAAAAACACAGTGAAGGTGTCTGAGGAATGAAGGTGCTTCAGCCAGAAACAGCAGCTTTGGCAAACACTTTTTCCATGTGTGTGTCAGCTTAGGCTTTTCTGTCTGTGTGGTATCAAGTGGCAGCCAGGTACAATAAATTATTTATACACCCTGTGCAACAGGTAACTTATAGCTCTCCACACAGGAACTGTTGACATATAGGTGATTATTCTGTCTTCTGTTTATGCTGCATCTCCTGTTTGGTTGGTGTATTTTTTCATTTTCACTTATATAAAATAAATACTGTGACGTCTTGCACAGGTCTAGCAATAAAAACAGATGAGTTAAAGAAGAGACATATAGGACAAAAGAGAATGGGAATTAAAAAAAATCTAAAGAACCATAGAAACAACTATCAGGTCTTTACAGGAAAATAAATATATTTAAAATTAAATACAAGGTTATACGTATTTAAAGCAGTACACTGTAGAAGGCAGAAGAGGAAGATAGCCTCACCACAAAGTCCATTTACTTATCAGATGCTTTCCTTCATAACAAAGGATGTTACCAGCGGATGATGTTTTCACTGTACAGCTGTTTTGGATTTCATTTTTAGCCCCTCAGTTCAGGATTATCCATGCTAGCTTTGTTCTCCTGTGCTCAAAGGCTCCAGAACAGCTACTGACAATTTATTCAAGTTTATTTTTGTTTCCTTTGATTTTATTTAATTGTTTCTACCTAGAAATATTTTATTTACCGTCCCTGGCACCAGTTTTTATATGTGCATATTATTTTGGAGCCTATATGTATTATTCGAATACGTTTCGAGGAATAAAAGTATTAAAACCCTTTTTGTCGCATATTATGACGCATAACTCTTGCGCTGATGTTTTTACAGTCCACGGTTAAGACGTTTTATAGCACGTATCGCTGACCGTGCAGTCACCTGATATGTAGCAGCCTTGAAGGGATGTTTGAGGGTTTTTTTTTTAAGACTGGTACTTGTCGTTATCACGCTTGACAAGCTTTTACGAGAAACTCCGTGCATAAACGAGGTAATTTCGTCTTTTTAATTAACTCCTTTATAAAGTAAACATTAGCATACGTACAGTCGTACGTAAAGTTTAGCTAACTTTGCTAGCTAAATCGTGAACGTTTGAGTTTTGTATCATCTTCGATGTTGACTAGCTTTTTACTGCTAAGTTAGTAATTATGACAGAGAAATACTGCCCATATACTATTTATGATATCGCATTAACGGTGGGTGATTTCTAGTTATAGCTGTAAGTGGTGGAGATGGTCAAAAGACACCGGTCAGGTCAAGTGTAACTAATTTCAGCAAAAGCATTTAACTTCGTTGTCATTCTTACGCTCACAGAAAAAATAAATAGGTCAAGTTGACATATAAAACTGGTTAAAGTCCATCCCCTGACGCAGTTTGCATTTACAAATGGACTGCGCATGCTCAGAACTCACCATAGCGTGTATGGGCATGTCTTTCATGGCTTGAAAGAGTTTATTTTATTTAAACGAAAGGGCACTGATACTGTAGAATTTGGCAGTGTTCCAATACAAAGGAAAAATAGGCCGGTATCACAAATACTGACACCCAGTTTATGAAGGGGAGAAACGTGTGTGGATTAATGAAGTTAATGCATATGCTTAATCTGAATGCTTTTTAATGACAAATAAAGATGTGATTTTTGCTTTCCACTGTCAGTTAACACAACAAAACACATTTCACAGCGTTTTGAAACATTTTTTTTCTTTTGAGACCCAGAAAGTAAACAAACTTGCCCCAAAAGGACTTTGTGTCGACTTGTTTTGTTTTTAACGTGCTGTTTAAATAAAAAAAAACCTTGAAAATTAACATAAAAGGGTTATTTTAGTCAGATATTTTCATATTTCATGTCTGAGATATTTCTTTCCGGTCAACTCAAGTAATTAACACGTTACAATAGGCCTAATATATTATTTGAATGTCAAAGTAACAATCATGATGACTATTCTCACTCCCATGACTGCAAGACAACAAATCACAGCATAGCAGGGAGGAGGACGAGGGTGCTTGAAAGGAGTGAGTGGTGTTTGCACAAACTATCGATATCAATCCACCCACCTGTAATTTACAGCACTGTATAATCTGTTTCTTGAGTTTAATGAAGGCTTGTATTAGTAGAATAGGCCAAGCCTGTCTGAAACTTGTTTTCATTCATCCAGGTATTAATAACAATGGTGAATAGTGAGGAAGAGAGGATGGAAGAAGGTGGTTTAGAGGGAGTAACTCCAGCACAGCAGCTGTGCCGCTTCTTTTCTCAAGGACGTCATTGCAACTTTGGGAAAAAGTGTAAATTTCTGCATGTAAGAGATGATGGCAAAGCTCATGGGAAGGAAACCGTCAGCACATCCTACCCAGCTGCATCAGTGGGCCACAGGCCATCACCTGTCCGCCGGCCATGCCGCTACTTCATCGCAGGACACTGCACCATGGAAGACAGATGTCGGTTCTGGCATCCACCACAGTTAGCCCTACTGGATGACAAGCCTGTTCCAGGCAATCAGATGAGAGCTGAACAGAGAATTCAACCAGTGCCTCACCCCAGCGTCCTTCAGGAGGTGAAGCTGAGTGACATGACAGAGGATATCGCCAAACAGCTACGAGACACAGAGATCGGTCAGCTGAAGAAGCGTTTTCCCAAAGATCAGCTGATTATTCAGGAACGTAGTGATGGGAAAGTTACTTATTACCGTGCAACTGTAGAGGCCACAGATCCAGACTGGGTAAACACTTCATTTGTTCTTCAAGAGCTTAGTGGGAAAACCCATATACACATCACTTCTCTTAATACAGTACAACTCTGTTTTAATTTGTAAGCAAGTTCTCTCCTTAATTGAGAGCAACACAGAAGACCAGTGATGTCACAGAGTAACAAATACTGAAGTTTGTTTCTATTCATAAGGCAACATGAAAGCTCACACAGTAAATTTTAATTCAGTTGGCAATTGGTGCAAGATAATTCAGGCCCAGTGTTAAACTGAAACACTAAGCTTGAATTGTTGCAATGCGAAAGAGTTAAAGATTGATTTATTTAAGCATGTATATAAATATTTACAGTTGTACTACTTTAAATTGTCTGTAAGCTACCAACTGCTGTAAGACCTAAAAGTCCAGTCTGATCACAATTTAGGCCACAATTCACAATTATTAATGAGCTAACTTTAATACTTTGGTAATATTATCAGGTTGAAAAAATGAACATAGCAGTTCATTGCAGTCTTACCTGGAAATTTATTCTGATGTTGCATTTTAACTTACAGCCTTTTGATCTGAAAGAAATTGACATCATGGTGAGCTTTCCTGACAATTACCCACAAGAGGTAAGGACCGCTGCTTCTTCTTAAACCACAGTTTCTCTAATATACCACACTAAGAATGATTGTCATGGAAAGAACAGTTTGTCATCCTTTTGATATTTATTTATTTTTCTTAGATTTTTACTTTGGATATACCCCTGGACCAAGATCTGCCTTCTGTAATGGCGAGGTAAACGCAGTTGTGGTTCATTTTTATGTGTTTATTGCATTGATAGCTGTTGCAGTCATCTCTACAAAATCTTTTGCTAAATAGGCATGTACAGCAAGCATCGTTGGAGTGGCTTCAAGCCAAGCATGCAACCAATCAGCTCATGGGAAAGGTAGAGCTGCTTTTCAGGCCTTTTCTTCGCTGGCTGGATCGCAGCTTGGAGAGGCTGTTTACTGAAGGAGCCCGGCAGGTGAGATTGAAGTCTAATCATTGTGTTTCAAGCTCAGTATATATATCAAAATGACCTGCAAGGTCTCTTTCTCTCTTGCTGTTTTTTTTTTTTTTTTGCAGTTGAAAAAAGACATTGATTTAGAAAAAGCTGGACTGCAGTTTATACCCTATCAGGAGCTCCAGGTAACTGTGTCTGAAACATCTGAGCCTGCGTCTGATGCTGCTGCTGCAGACAGAGATGAGGATATTGAAATGACACAGGAGGAAGGGAAGTTGGTGCAGAAGGAGAATCTAGGTGGTGATGAAGGGACAGAGAAAGAGGAGACGAGTCATCTGGTGGAGAACATTAAGATCAGCGACCCTCGCCGAGGCACAGAGGTAAAGCTGCTGGGATTGATGCTGGGAGAGAACACCGCCACTGTAGTCGCCCCGCAAATTACTGTTTCTCTTCAGTGTAACAGGTAATGAAGATAAGAAAGCATTAGACACTGTTTTTTGTTTTTTCAGAGTGAGAGCTCATCCATAGTTCTAACATTCTAACTCTGTTTACAGGTGTAAGGTGACTGCAGACCTGACACTAAATGGAAGGACCCCCTGCTCGGCTCAGTGTGAAAACTGTACCACAAGCATAAGTGCAGCATTCAGACCCTGCATGCTTCACCATTACAGTGATGTCCTGGGTTACTTGGATCTCCAAAACACTACAGCTGTGGACCTAGTACTTCAGGAGTGTGAACTCACTGTGGGCTGCCTCAGCTGTTCCCAGGAGGGCCCAGTGCAGGTGACGAAACATGTTATGCTTAACATACCAGAACAGCTGCGCTGTGAAATTTCATGCAACTGAAAACAAATCTGTTTTTTTGTGTGTTTGTTTGTTTGTTTTTTTCATCAGAACCTTGCCTATGGACAAACAAAGGAGTTTAATTGTGAAAACTGCCACACCAAACTCAGCATCCTGGCTGAGAGCACTAAATTTCACTACATTCAGCCTCGCACCAATAAAACAGGTCAGAGCTCATCTACATATGACATCATTGTAATATAAGGATATGTCAACAGTTTAAAAAACTAAAGCTACTCGATTAAGCATGAGCATTTATAGACACTGAAATAAACTTACGCCTCATCAGACCACAAGGGCTAAACTACTGTGTCTGTTTTGCCTTCTCATTTTGTGCAGGGTCAAGTGGTGTCAGTTACAAGACATTAAGAGATCCTGCTGTGCAAAAAGGGAAGCCACTGCCAGAAAAAGGAACATGCAAACATTTCAAACAAAGCCACCGCTGGCTAAGGTATTGTCCTCCCTCTGACCTTTCTCTTTTTTATGTGTCGGTACAAGAGGTTTAATAAACGCACGTGGGAGTCGGTGAAAGATTTGTACCCATTTTTTCAGGTTTCCCTGCTGTGGTCGGACCTACCCCTGCGATGTGTGCCACGATGAGAACCAGGACCACCCCATGGAACTCGCCACGCGAATGATTTGTGGTTTCTGTGCTAAAGAACAGGTGGACTATAGATTTGAAATTTCATTAAATCTTACTTGTCAGTCTGTATATTAGTATAAACCTTACAGTCTGCTCATTGAAAGTCTAATATAAAGTCTAATAACCAAGGTAAAGTATCAGTGGATGTATAACAGGAAAGGCTCTGTTTGAGTTGCAAATTAATTATTTTTCATTAAAAATGTATTTGCTTACATCTGGGAATATAAATGCATGGTAGATTTAGGCTCTAAATGATAACAAAATGTCATCCAAACTGTGTTTGCTCTTGCAGCCATATGGCAATGGAAAGCCATGCGTCAGCTGTGGAGGCATGATGACGAGAGGCACGTACACCAGCCACTGGGAGGGAGGACAGGGGTGTAGAAACAAAGTCAAAATGAGCAGGTACTTACTTACATTAAGGTTCATATCCTGGGAACTAATAATTAAAATTTTATGGGATTAGTTTTTCTTTTTTCTTTCTTTCTTTCTTCTTTTAAAAAAAAATCTCTGATTTTAAAAAATGTAAGGTTTTATTCTCCTTTCTCTTCAGAAATGATCGACAGAAATATGCCAACTCCAACAAAACGGTTTCGAGGAAGGCAGCCACTGAGAAGAAGTAGTTGGTGAAGAAGAGCCTCATTGCATTCTTTTATCACAAATCATTACAATACACAAATCATTATTTCAATAAAACTGTCCTTTTCCACAATAAATTCTGTGTTTGTGATCATTTGGTGTCAGAACCGTTAATATTATTACAATGTGGTATTTAAACTCTTAAGATTAAATATTGATTGATTGAATCTTTATTTTGAACATGTTAAAAAAGTACAACAACATAGAATTAAAAGAGACAAATAAACAAAGCAAAACAAAAAGAAAACGAGCAACCACAACTACAAATATCTTTTATGTTCAAAAAGGAGCAGGAAGAAGCATGAGCTTATTTAATCCCACTCAAATATGATTTCAGTTAGAGGACTTTGTGCTCCTTAAAGCCATAAGGTCAGTTTACAGAACATTAAATTACATTGAAGTGTCCTGGTATTTGCAATATTATATTAGTTATTGCAGTATTAAATGTTCCTTAAGATTAGAATCTTATTTTCAGAGGTCATCTGGCAAAGAAAGGGCAGCATTAGCAGGATTGACCCAGTGACTTAAAGTGTATGGAGGTCAGTTGGTCTCATTACACAGATTAAACACTAAACTTAACCTAGTTAGTCTAATCTAGCTGACCCTGTTGACCCTCTTGTAACAGCAATCTACAGCCAAAATGCACAGAGGACTGTGCAAAAGTCTCAAGTCATCCCTCATTTTTTTTAAATGTGTACTTTCAAGGAGGCAGACTTTCTTGTAATTTTAAGGTGATATTGGGGAAACAGCTCTCCATACTTTGGACATTCCCCTCTTTTTCATTTAATTTCAGTCCCGTCCATTTACAGAGGAATACATTTTTGAGTTATTAGTTTTAATTTTTTAAGCAATATTAATATCGACATATGAATCATTCAAATATATAAAAACTACCTTTATGGGAATTAGATGTCTTTTGGAAAAAGTGTTAGGCACTTTGTTACTAGCAGCCTGCAGCAAAAAACATTTTTTTCCCCATTTATTAAATTGGCTCTACCAATAAAAGACAAAGATGACACAGTTTGCTAGGCATAAAATTGTAGTTTTACACCAACATTAGCTATTAGCTGAAAACTTGACATAGGATCGCCATGGTGTGGAGTGTGTCTTTAAGCTCATCACCACTGCATGGGAGAGGCAAAAGACTGAGGTGTGGGAAAACTACACAAGAACTGGACTGAAAATCAGTGGCAACAGGTTTGATGGTGATTAATCAAACTTTGAAATCTTCGGTTCAAACTGTCTTTAATATGTATAAATGAGGACAGAAGAGTGGCAGTGAGTGTCTACAGCCGTCCGTAAAACACGGCGGAGGCTGTGTCCTGGTTTGCAGCTGTATTTCAGCCAATGGCGTTTAAGATCTTGTCAAAATTAATGATTTGGCTCCAGCATGCAACACCATCTGAAAAGAGTCCGAACGGCACTTCATTGTTCAGGCAATGCAGTAAAAGCATACCTGGATAGAAAACTAGAATAAATATGATAGACTTTTAATCTCCTTTGGAGTGAACTCTGCTTTCCTTTATATGCTATATTTACATGTATGTTTACACACGTCTCAATTAATCGCTGCGCACAGATAACACTCCAACTTTTCACTGAGCCATTAATGAGTGTAAGAGCGAAATATACAACGAACTAAACAAAAGAGAAATAAGTCCGTTTCCGAACATCAAGACAACCAAAAAAATCCTTGAAATATTCCTACTGTGAGTCAAACACTTGCCTGATTTTTGTCTTCAGAATTCATTTTGTTAAACAAACAAACAAAAAACGATAGCACATCTGAAGAAAAAGAAAACTGATCTGTGAAAAGATCGACCCTAACCTGGCAGTCAGTACTTCATCATTCACAAGCTTTGTGATCCTGTAAAACTCACTACAGAGTCGGACCATTTTCAAATTAACTCTCAATCTCGAAAGACGGACGCTGACCTGAGGAAATGTTACAGGCTTGACTCCTTCCCTGTCCAATTTGCAGATGTGGGTCAAGGAGGCGGGCACGCGCCAAATAGCGCCAAATGGCACTGGATGTACTGTTTGAATGAACCACCTGGGTGTGAGGAGGAAAACACAGACTTAGACTTAGAATATTGCGCACATATTTATTTTGTTAAAAGAAATTACATTACTTTATTCGCGTAAACGCTACGGTTATGTGTTTAAGGTTTAAGTCGACACCATAATAAATAATAATAAT